AAAAAAAAAAAAATGAATAGATTATATATATCTATGGTTATACAAGCTTAGCTTTTAAAAACTATCATAGTTTTATTTATATTTTCTTCCTAACGTTTTCTCCCGCTGTCTATTGTGATCTGGTCAGTTGAATAAAAGAAAAAACACCATTTTATGGTGAAGTAAATAAAAATTACCGTGATGTGTTTGATTAGAGTACAAAATTTTATTGTGGGATATAGTTTAATCTGTAGATAGATTTAGTCAGTGTAATAAAAATGCTTACTTATACTATATTGTGCTTTTCGCCTAAACGTAGGTTTGAAATTTCGATTATTATTGGAAATCCGAATTGCTGAGTGTAAATATCTCATAATCGAATCAACACTTGTGCGATTGACGATTGATTTGCATTTTCATAGTACATATTACTGTATATTGACAAATTATTATGTGAGGCGGCTTAGTCTATAAATGAATCCCTCATATTTATTTCCTACAAAAATACATACTTATATGATAAGATATTGTAAAAATATTTTTTTAAGGATGTAATTATTTAACATATAACATTTCAATAAAAAAAGTGTAGCTTATTTAGACATCTTTTCAAATAACTCATTGAAAATCTTATTCAGTTGATTTATCAACTAATATTACTGAAACGCTTTTATCATATCGACTAATTTTTTAGTCATAAGATATAAACTATCAGCTATCAGCTCGTATTTTTCTTATAAACTATTAACTATAAACTTGAAATTACATTACTTTTTATTTTTATGATCAATTTATAAATTCTTTATGTATGGTTTAAAAATAATTTATGATTGATTTTATTTTGGATGTCGTATTTTTTGTAAATTTTTTTTCTAGAAAAAATTAACAAAATTTTAAAATAGCCAAAAAAATAAATATAATATATATTTGTATGGGATATACATACTTTGGAGCATAGAGCATCTTTAATAGAGGTTTTCAAGAGGTTTATATTATAAATATATTAATATGGACATTACTAATATATAATTGGGCATGAAGTCCATCAGTTAGTAGGATTAGGTTTTAGGGTTTCTCTATTGTAAACTCTATAAAAGAGTGAATACCGATGAATAAAATTACATACTTTTCTTCTTCTCTTTTATCGTTCTCTTTACTGCACATCTTATGCTTGGATTGATGGATGTTGTTGGACGATCAACATTGGTGCTAGGAGCTTGTGAAAAGACAACACAAAAACCATGTTGCTGAAAATGTATTCTTTGTATTAATTGCTGCTGAAAGGAGATGAAATACATGCCATATATATAGCCCTACAGTAACCCTATAACCTGCAAACCCTAGACTAGAAACCAATGAGCAGATCCCACGTGTTGCATGCTGACATGCATAACAGCTAAGGGAAATACAGCTAAAAGAAGAGAGAGCTGAAGAGAGTACAAAGATGCTAACTAATTTTGTCATCTTGCTTATCACTCCCCCTCAATTCTTGTGCAGGTGAAGAAATGACTTGAAGTTGTTTTTGGAGCCTGGAAAAGAATTGGAGTGACAGTGGTTTAGTCAAAATGTCAGCTACTTGATCATGAGTGGGGACATGATGAACTTTGAGAAGATGATTAGCAATTTGATCACGAACAAAGTGAAGATCAATTTCGATGTGTTTAGTGCGAGCGTGGAGGACTGGATTACTGGCCAGAGAGATAGTGCTTAAGTTGTCTATCCACACAATGGGTGTCTGAGGCAGGGTGACATGAAGTTCCTTTAATAAGGACTGAATCCAGGTGATTTCTGCAGTTGCATGGGCAAGGCTTCTGTACTCGGCCTCAGTGCTTGATCTGGAAATGGAGGCTTTCTTTTTGGAACACCAAGAGATAGGATTTCTTCCTAGATAAACACACAAACCAGTGATGGATTTTCTATCATCCAAATCAGCACCCCAGTCTGAATCTGAAAAACCAGTGAGAATATGTGAGGACTGTTTTGTGTAGTGGAGGCCATGAGTAGAAGTTCCTGCCAGAAAACGAAGTATTCTTTTGGCAGCCTTAAGGTGTGTGTCCAAAGGTGTTTGCATGAATTGACACACTTTGTTTACACTGTAGGCAATGTCTGGCCGAGTTATTGTCACATACTGAAGAGAGCCCACTAAGCTTCTGTAAGCTGAGACATTTTCAATAGGAGAACCCTGGGTTTTGGTTAAAACAGGAGTTGTGAGCATAGGAGTAGGGACATGTCTGGCTTCTAGCATGTTGGTTTTATTGAGAAGGTCCTTGATGTATTGATGATGTCTAATTGCCTTACAGTCCAGTTGTTCATTAATGCTAAGGAGAGAACAAGTCTAATTGTTGTGGGTTTGACCACAGGGCTAAAGGTCTCAGTGAAGTCAATGCCTGGGGTTTGGCTATACCCTTTGGCAACTAACCTGGCTTTGTGCCTAGCTATAGAACCATCAGCATGATGCTTGACTTTAAAAATCCATTTACAGCCAATAGCATGTTTGTTCTGAGGTAGAGGAACCAAGCTCCATGTGTGATTAGCAAGTAAGGCATTGTATTCAGCTTGCATAGCACTGGTCCATGTGGGATGAGACAAGGCTTCAGTGTGAGAAGCAGGTGCATTGTTGTCCAAGTAATCTGCCAA